CTCACGTGTCACAATAGGCGTGTCTCCGGTGAAGCTTGTGGCAGTCTTCATGCTGGATGGCCAGCGGATGTTGGTCACTGCAGGAAGGAAACCGCTCTTCGGACGATGTATGCCCTGTAGATATGGAAGGGTGGTAGTTAACATTGTGCTTCGCGGTGGTGGACGGCGATGAGATCGCTGAGGTATTCCCGAGTTCGGGGGGAGTGGGGAATGTTGTATATGGAGACTTTGTGGCGGGAAGTGAGTATGTCGTGGATCATTGTCGTCGCATGTGCGCATCCCCATCGTTCGAGCGGTCTCCACCAGTGAGGGTCTGTTTCGTGTGTGGGTAGGAGGAGGGGAGGCGGTGTAGGTTGTGCAGAAGCGATGAAGGCATATTTGTGGTGGGCATTCAGTATGCGATCGTGTTGGTACTTTGCGAGGCATGTGTGAGATCCTGTAGATCGGTAATGGTCACGCTGCAGTAGTTGCAAGAGACATGTTTTGGAGCGGGTGAATGTTGTATTGGGAGAGGGATGAGGCAGCGGGCGATTGAGTTCTTGTTCACGCTTGTGCTTGTATGAAGCGAAGAACGTGTACAGGGAGGGGGAAAAAGCAGCGTGATCTGTTGGCAGGAAATCCTCCCAAAGAATTTGGTCAATTATTTGTTCTATAGTGTCAGGATGGAGTACGTGGTGCCACCCGTCCCACTTGGTGTACTCGTGAGGGTCGTCTTCTTGAGTGGACTGCGGTTGGCAATGTGGGCGAAGGGTTGTGTGAGTAGTGGAAGGTGTTACGACAGTTGCAAGTGCGTTTGTTGGAGTAGGCAGCGGAATATCAAGTTGGCTGAGAGTTACGTCATCCAAGCCTTGTTGGTGAAGAAAAGATGGATTAGTTAGTAGGGATGATGTGTGAAATGCAGATTGAAGTGAAGCGGTGCGATCCCGAGGATGCTTCCACCCCTGCAATGCTCCTCCTCCCTTTCCTTCCTTTGCCGATCCCGACCGTCTCTGAACCTTCTCTCTCCAATCGTGAGTTCACCCCAATGCCGAATGCACCCCAATCCCGACTTAGTCATATCCCCTCCCATTCCTCTCCTTCTCCTTTCCCTCTTCCAACCCTCCCCTTCCCCCCTGTCCCCCACCCTTGTGATCCTGACAGACCCCTCGTGACTGCACCGTCTTCCCACCGAGGCAAATTATTTTCCTCGCTATTGAAAAAAAAAAAAAAAAAAAAAAACAATTTCTCATCCTGATTCCTGCCATGTCGCTGAATGATTCGGCGGAAGTAAGTGCGTGTGTGTGTAAAAAAAAAAACAATTTCTCATCCTGATTCCTGCCATGTCGCTGAATGATTCGGTGGAAGTAAG